AATGCAGAAATTTTGGCATTGAAAATGGGCTATGTAGGTCCCCGTTTTGGTATAGCCCCCATATAATGGTACCTCCCGATATTCCGTTTTTTTATCATTTTAGGGACATTATTAACCAAAATTGTTTCAAATTTGGTATTTGAAGTTCGTAATAGGTACTACAGCCTATGACAGAAAATTGTCTGTGAAGGCCCACGTCTTCGTATAGCCCCCAAATAACGACACCTTCCGATATTCGGTATTTTGATGATTTTAGCGACATTATCCATCGGAATTGTGTCAAATTTGGTATTTGAAGTTCGTAATGGATAATGCAGCCCATGACAGAAAATTTTCGGTGCAGGTCCACGTCTTCGCATAGCCCCCATATAATGGTACCTCCCGATATTCGGTATTTTGATGATTTTAGCGACATTATTCACCGGAATGGTTTCAAGTTTGGCATTTTAAGTTCGTAATGGATATTGCAGCCTATGACAGAAAATTGTCTGTGCAAGTCCACCTCCTCGTATAGCCCTCATTTAACGGTACCTCCCATATATGGTATTTTAATGATTTTAGCGACATTATTCACCGGAATTGTTGCAAATTCTGTATTTGAAGTTTGTAATGGATACTACAGCATATGACAGAAAATTGTTTGTGCAGGTCCACGTTTTGGTATATCCCCCAGATTATGGTACCTTCCCATATTCGGTATTTTAATGATTTTACCTACATTATTCACCGATTTTTTTTTTTTAAATTTCGCATTTGAATATTGTTATAACTTATGACACAAGTTGCCTATGCAGGCCCACGTCGTCGTATAGACCCTAATATAACGGCTACATTCGGTATTTTCAAAGTTTTAACAGAATTTTTAAAGAATTTTATTTATTTTTTTTTTTTTTTGAAAATTGTCAAATTCGTTCCAAATGGTGGTGGGTATTGCAGCTTTTTTACTTGTTTTTAATTTAATTGTCAAAAAGGTACAACCGATAAGAATATGGGTTTTATAGAATTGAAGGAATGATTTAATAACTTGTCGTGGCAGTGCAGTAATTTCAGTTAAATTAGAATTACAGCGCACCAAAAGTGGTTCCTATTACCCCGTTCTGTTCAGTACAGACTTAGACTCTAGTGACCCATAATAGAAATGGATGGGAAAATAGTTAAGTATAGAACTATCGAGCTAAAGGATCTTAATGTGTATTCCCGCCATTTAGCACTGGCAGAACATAAAGATTGCTACACGGTGATTGAACGATGAGCAATGGCGCCCAATACCAGTCATTTTTTTAAAATAAGGTATTTTCTATCGAACACTGGGAATTAAGACGATAGATGATGTAGTCGATCTAGCCATGCCATACGAAGGGAGTATCCGATTTTGTTCAAATATGGCACATCGTAATAAGTTAGATCAAATTCGGTACCCCCACTACTTATATCTAACCCACAAATCTTATATATTTAGAACTCTAGTAATATGTGGAATCGAAAACCGTTTTCTTCGCCAAATACAAGGTGAGATAAAAAAACTGCAACAAAGTCAAACTCCATAATTTTTTACATTTTTTCTTAAATTTTATTGAACAAAATCGAAAAATATCGGAAATAGCATCAAATATTAGTTTAAGTTTAGATTTATTCGAATTGGTCACCTTTGGCACGAATTACGGCCTTCAAGCGGCCAATAAAACCGTCACACGCTACCCGAAAGTTGCTCTGCGGTATTTTGGCCTATTCCCGACGAAGCGCTTGCTTAAGGTTCTCGACACTTTGGTATTTTTTAGTGCCAACCTTGCTTTCCAAAATACTCCAGACACAATAGTCCAACGGATTGGTATCCGGGGATTTTGGTGGCCATTGTGTAACCATTTTTGGGTGGCGCGTGCTGAGTCCTGTTGGAATGTCCAAGGTCAGCGGCCAAAATGGTTGCGTGCCCAAGGCTTTAATACACCTTTCAGAATATTTTCGCGATAATATTCGGCATTTATTCTGATGCCACGGTCATTTAATACGAGCGGAGAGCGGCTTTTATGGTGGCCCACACCATCACCATGGCCGCTGCTGTTCTGATGCACCGAGTTCTGGTGGCCAACCGAAGGTGCACATTTTCAGCTGACCTCTTTGGCAGGTAAACACGATCATTTTGTTTGTTTACAAACTGCTGGAAAACGAATATTTTCTCATCGGAGAAAACCAAATTCGACAGTTCACCACTTTCGGCTAAGCTAAGCAACCTTTTAGCTCTTTTCAGTCTATTTTCTTTCTGTTGCGGTGTAAGTTCTTGCATTTTTTGGAATTTCAATGGCTTTACCCCGAGCTCATTTTTCAATATTTGCCGAATGGAATATTGCAATATGTTCAGCTCACGATCCATTTTTCGGCCACTGCGACGCGGGTTTCGATCAAGTCGTTGCTGTTTTCTTCCTTCCACTTCCTTGCTGTCGGGTTACGCTACCAGGTAACGGGCGATGGTGGATGGTACGAGACACAAGAGATTTATTCACATTTAAATGCTGGAGTGCTCTAACGATAGCCACTTGTGGGTTTTCAGCCAAATAGAAAGAAATCACACTCACACGCTTGAATTCCGTCACGAATAACTTTTTTTCTGTAAAATTCTCACCAAAATGCTTTTGTACGCTTGTAAACAATATAATGAGCTGTCACTGGAATAATTTTAACAGCTGTCGGAGGAGTGGCTTAGAAATGACAGCAGTGTGAAGTTGGTTGCAGTTTTTTTCATTTCATCCTGCATTTAAAGCTAACACCAAATTTAGTAGCACTTGGTACTATTCGTTCACGTAGAAATTTATTTCCAAAACCTCTTCATATCTCAGTACTACACAGCAAATTCTGACGTCAACACCAAAATTCAGATATATATCCGTACAATCAATACTAAACTTTGTACCATTTATTAGCTTTTATACTATTGTAGTACTTATTTCCAGAAATAATTCCAAATTTCAGGACTTCACCTCAAATACAATTTGTACAAAATTTAGTACTATTTAGTAAATACCACAATCCGACGCTCCCACAGTAATCTAGATTCCAAAGTTTAGCATTCCTTCCTTATCGGTTCGCCCAAATATAAATTCTACCAAATTTAGTATCATATAGTACAGTCGAGTACGAATTTCCAAAACGTCCTACATAACTCAATCCAACACTCCAACAGTAATCTTATTTCCAAATTCCAGCTCTAAGGGTTCAGCTAAATCCAAATTGTACCAAATTTAGTACATTTTAGTACATATAAGTACAAATTTCTAAAACTACCTACATATCTCAATCCTACACTCTGACAGTAATCTTATTTAGAATTTTGAGGATACTAATGTTGATGACTACCTACATCGTACAGTCCAATAAAAACCTAATTTTCGAATTTCAGGATTACAACTCTTGCCAAAATATAAATTGTACCAAATTTTGTACCATTTAGTACACATAAGTATGTTTTTCAAAAAATTCAAGAATTTCCAAGAGTTCAAAAGTAATCTTATTCCAAATCGAGATTGTACCAAATTTAGTACCATTATGTACTTTTCGTACACATAAGAACACATTTCGAAAACTTCCTCCATATCCAAATCCTATACTCCGCCAGTAATGTTAATTTCAAATTTCAGGATTCCAGCTCCATCCATTCTTCAAAATTCAAATTGTACTAAATTTAGTACAGTTTAGTCCTTTTCATATATATGAGTACACACTTCCAAACCTACCTCCTTACATCGACTCTACTCCTCAACCATGATTCCCATTCCAAATGTCAAGATTTTAGCACTAATCGATCACATGATACGAAATGGTACCAAATCTAGCACCATTTAGGACTTTTCGTACACTTATAGTACGAATTTTCAAAAAGCCTTTTAGTACGTCTATCCATCCATTCGTGACTCTCATTCTTATAGTTCTAGTTCTACTGTTTTCTCAAATACAAATGCTACCATAATTAGTACCCAGCGTTACCTGACGCATTCGGACCAGAAGTGACCCTCACCCAAAATTCTAAGATTCTAGCTTCAGTCATTTCGTCGGAGCCTTGATGAAACGTTAAGTCAGTCAGTCAGTCAGTCAGTCATTTATTTTACTATTTTGTTAATATATAGATACGTTTTGACAAAAGGGCCAAAAAGACCCCTTTGGTGACTTGAGGGTTACAATTTTCCACCAAAATAAGCAATATTGCCGAAAATCTGTAAACCTTAAATCAACAGCTTAGAGTGATTCTTAATCCGAAAATTTCCGAAAGCGTGGAAGATGTCCCCCTTTCAATACGCCGATGCATGTGTCCTCTATTTGTAGCTCTATTTTCATAACCTGCTGGATTTTTTCTGTAATTATTTTTATACCCTCCACCATAGTATGGAGGGTATATTAAATTTGTCATTTCGTTTGTAACACCTCAAAATATACATTTTAGATCCCACAAAGTAAATACATTCTTGGTCAGCATAAAATTCTATGTCGATTTAACAATGTCCGTCCGTCTATCCGTCTGTCCGTCTGTCCGTCTGTGGAAATCACTCTAGCTTCCGAACGAAATGAAGTAAGTTGATAAAAATTTACTCAAATGTGTATTATGTCTGCAGGACATTGGTATTAAAAATGGGTATTTGGGTATTCGTATTTGAAGTTTACAGACAATTTTCTGGCATAGGCTGTAGTATCCATGCCTATGCCAGAAAATTGTTTGTGCAGGCTTATGCCAAAAGTTGCGTATGCAGGTCTATGTCGTCGTATAGACGCTAATATACGGCTACATTCGGTATTTTTGAGTTTTTAACAGAATTTTTATCGGATTTTATTTTTTTGAAAACTTTCAAATTTCTTTCCAAATGGTGGAGGGTATTCAAAGTTCGGCCCGGCCCACTTAGATGCTTTTTTACTTTGTTTGCTCTACTTTCATAACCTGCTGGATATTTTCTGTAATTATTTTTTATGTTGCGCCGTGTAATTGACTTTTTCTGTTATCTTTTTTTTTTTTTTTGTAGCATTCTCACCACGGATTGGGCAGGAAGTACCATTGAGCTTAACACCGATTTACGACGAAATGGTAGGCAGAGACAAGAGTACATCGGATTTTTTAACCTTATCTATCTTTTTTCACCAGAAATCGATACCTTTTACAATCCACCCAAACCCTACAGGGTGATAGAGAAAAATGGTCGGGAAAATGTCATATTCAAGAGGCTGCCGGAGAAATCATGGCGTTATATAAGAGATTTCGTGACAACGCTGGTAAGAATGCTGATACCAAAGAGATTTCTAACAAATACATCAACCGCATCCGAATCATGTTCATCGTCCATCGATTGTAATAATGCCACCAACAGCAACATCACCACCCCCACCAATGCCACTGTAAATAAACATCAAGAATCGACTAGAGATCGGGAATCACAGGAAATGGAAAGCGATAATGAAGGGACTATTTCAACTGAGTGTAATAAATTATTAGATAACGAAGAGAGATCTGCAGAACATGTTTCAAGAAAAGTAAAGTTTTCCCTATACGATTAGTTGTGAGTGGAAATTCCGATTTGTTGTGAGCCTTTGATATTAGTTTTTGGTAATTAATTTTCCGGAAAAGGTTATGATGAACCCTCTGGGACCCAAATATTTTACAGAAAATTTTGATATCGTATAGAAAAAAATCTCCAAGGGTTGTCTGTTGTAATATCTCATTATAGCCCACATTCGTTTAAATATAACATTCCATCTTTTCTCGTTTTTTTCTATTTTTTATGTTTCATTTTTGTTTGTTGTTTTTGTTTTCGTTTTAATAAAATTGTATGTGTTCTTCACACTCAAAATAAAAAATCGAAAATATTTCATTTCACTAATATGCGATCTTTAAAATATTATGAAAATATGAAAAATCTCCACTATTTTATTCCCCCTTAAAATGTATGCGTCTGTGTGTGTGTATAGATCGAATTAGATTGGAAATACATGCTAGCCATGTTCATTGGCAGCTACTTCCTTAGCTGGTTCGTTTTTGCCATTCTCAGCTATATGGTCGCCTATTCACATGGCGATCTAATGTATGACGAAGTCACCGGTGAACGTTTGGGCGAGGGAAAAGATCCCTGCATTATTGGCGTCTATGATTTCACCTCGACCTTCATTTATTCGATGGAAACTCAAACCACCATTGGTTATGGTGAAAAATATCCCAGCGAAGAGTGTCCCGAGACAATGTTTCTATTCATAATGCAGATTGTTTGTTCCATTGCCATTGAGGGTGCAATGGTTAGTATCATTTATGCCAAGACGGCCAGGCCAGCCAAACAAATTACGAAAATGAAATTTAGCAATAAAGCGGTGGTAAGTAGGGATATGGAATATTTAGGATTAACTTTTAAAATTCATATATTTTATGTCCCCAGATCTGCTATCGTGATGGTAAATTGTGTTTGTTGTTCCGTGTCTGTGATCCGCGGGAGCAGCACAGCATTGAAACAAAGATACGAGTCTATATGATTATCGACAGACCGTGAGTATATAAAAAAGTGAAAAATCAGTAAGTTCGGCCGGGCCGAACTTTGAATACCCTCCATCACTTGCAACAAATTTTGGAATTTTCAAAAAAAAAAAATAAAATCTGTTAAAAATTTTAAAAATACCGATTATAGCCGGTTATATTTTGGGGCTTACATGAAGACGCGGACCTGCATAGGTCATTACAATATTCAAATAAAAAAAATTTTGTACCTTAAATCATCAAAATACCGCATATAGGGAGGTACCGTCATATGGGGGCTATACGAAGACCTTGGCCTGTATAGGCCATTTTCTATCATAGACTGTAGTACCCATTAGGAACTTTAAATACAAATTTTTCAAACATTTCCGGTGAATTTTGTACCTAAAATCGTCAAAATACCGAACATAGGGAGGTATCGATATAAGGAAGCTATACCAAAACGTGGACCTGCACAGACAATTTCTTGTCATAGACTGTGGTATCCATTATGAACTCCAAGCACGAGATTTTAAACAATTTCGGTGAATTTTGTCAAAATACGGAATATAGGGATGTACCGTCACATGGGAGCTATACCAAAACGTGGACCTGCACAGATAATTTTCTGTCACAGGCTGTAGTACTCATTATAAACTTCAAATACAAATTTTTAAACAATTTCGGTGAATATTGTGCCTAAAATCGTCAAAATACCGAATATAGGGAGGTATCGATATATGGGGAGTGTACGAGAACGTCAATATTCTGTCATAGACTGTAGTTACCATTACGAACTCTAAATACGAAATTTCAAACAATTTCGGTGAATATTGTGTCTAAAATCCTCAAAACACCGAATACTGGGGGTACAGTTATATGGGGGCTATATGATATGGTGGATCGATAAAGCCCATCTTCGAGCCTGACCTGACTTATCTATGCAAAATTGTAGCTTCCTATTTTTATTCGTTTTGACTCTAGCGTGATTACAACAGACGGGCGGATGGACGGACGGAAAGGGCTAAATCGTATATTTACTTTGTTATGTCTAAAATTACTATTTCGATGCGTTATAAACGGAATGACTAACTTAATATACCCTCCATACAATGTATGGTGGAGGGTATAAAAAATAGCAAGAGCCCGCTACTTCGTCAACGACAAGTCTATCTTAAAATTTTGGATACGTTCCAACGGAATTTGTTTCTTTTGTCCAAAATTATTTTAATCTTTCCATATGTGAACCCTAAAAACCAACAGTGAGCACAACATCGAATTTCAGAATTTCAACCCCATACCCAAATTAGGAACGTTTAGTACGCATATCCAAAAAAACTACACCTTCCTATCCTATACACCACCAGAGTTTCAAAATTAGTACTGTTTTGTACTTTTCGAACAATTGTAGTACACATTTTCAAACCCACCTCCACATCTCAATCCTACATACCGACAGAAACCTCAATATGAAATTTCGGATTTTCTGCTCTATCCCTTCACTCAATACCAGATTTAGTACTTTTCGTATAATTTTAGTACTCATTTACAAAACCGTTCCATATCTCAATCCTAGACCCTTAACAGTTTTCGCAATATAAAATTTCACGGTTTCAGTTCTACATCATCACCTAATACCAGATTTAATAACATTTAGTAAGCATATTCAAAACAATCTACATCTTTCCTTCCCCGGAACCAAGAGTGTTCCAAAATTTGTGACATTTAGTACTGTTCGAACAATTATAGTACGCATTAGAAAAACCACCAACAGATCTCAATATCAAATTTCAGGATTCCAGCTTTGTCCCTTCAGCCAATTCCCAATGTAGTATTACTTAGTACTTTTCGAACAATTTTAGTACACATGTCTTAAACCACCTACATGTGACATTTATATCAAATTTCAAAATATCTCCTCTAATCCTAAACCCAATACTAAATTTAATACTATTTACTACATTTCGTAATACTAAAGTATACATTTTCAAAACCACTTCCTGATACAAACAAAGAACTCAATATCAAATTTGTGGTTCTCAGCCCTATTTTTTCGAACTAGTATAGTACACATTTCCAAATCCACCTCCATATCTAAATCCAAGGTACGAACAGACCACTGAATATTAAATTCCAAGGATCCCAGATCTATCCTTTCATCCAATACCTATTTTAGTACCACTTAATCCTTTTTGAAGAATTCTTGTACGAATTTTAAAAACAGCCTCCATATCTTAGCCAACAGTAACTTTAATATAAAATTTCTCCATTTCCAAATTTAGTACCATTTAGTACAATTATAGTATGTATGTCCAAAAACCAGCTCCTCCTCTCTACCAAAGACACCAATAACATAGTGACATTCATATCAAATGTCAGGATTTTAGCTCTATCCCTTAACCCAATACCAAATTTACTATCATAGGACGCATTTCCAAACCACTACCAAATCTCAAGCAGAGATACCGTTAGTAATCAAATATCAACTTTCAGAATTTTATCTCTATTTCTTCACCCAATGCTAAATATAGTAACATTCTGTACTTTTCGTACACTTATAGTACACATTTCCAAAACCACCTCCATATGTCCAGACTATAAATGAACAGCGACCTTAGTACCAAATTTCAGATTTCAAGCAAGTACTTTAAATTTGGTGAAAATTGGTCCAGATATAGCTATAGCTACCACATATATGTTTAATCCGATTTGGTGTTTAAGTCCCTCACATTCGTAATATACAGATATCTTGTACAGCTCGGAAATACCTCTCCCAAATTTTATCGAGATCGGCTTAGATTTGGATATAGTTCCAATATATATCCTCAATCCGATTTCAGGTTTATTGTGCAAATAATGGCTAATATCAGCCCAAATGGAGTGAACTTCGGGACGTACGTTTCAATTTTATGCAACTCGGCTCCGATATACATATGTTTTTAATATAATCCTTCTCGAAGTGATATCATGCACTCTATTGCAATGTTATTTGGTATAAAAGATTAAAATGTCTCCGTCAAATTTAGTGAAAATCGATTCTGAATTAAGTATGCCTCCCATATATTAGTTCCCTCTGAAACCGAATTATAACTGCTCTAAAGCCAAATGTTGATAGGTGGTATGATCTACTTCAAATAAATTCTATTGTGACGGGAGCTCTACAAAATATTCATCATGGTGTAGGGTTTCATATAGTCGGCCCCACCCGACTTTTGACTTTTCCTTACTAGTCTAATTCAAAATTACTTTCCAACCTTGATTCTCATTCCAAATTTTATAGCTCGATCGGCTCACATAATACCAAATGATACTATTTTAGAAGTTCAGTACCATTTCAAACTTTTTGTAAGCTTAAAGCTCGAATTACCAAACACCCTTTGGTATATCTATCCTGCACTCCATCAGCGACTTTTATTCGAAATTACAGAATTCTAGCTCATTCCGTGCGAATTTCCGAAAACCCATCAAAACTGACCCTACACACCAAAACTGACACTCGTGCAAAATTTCAAGATTCAAGCTTCAGCCGTTTGGTCTGAATGCACCTCTACCAAATTTTTCGGAAATTTTCTTCTTTTTTTAATTTTTTAAAATTCTAACATATTTTTCTCCTTTCTTCTTGTTTCCATTTAGCACAAAAGAAGGCGAACTCATTAAGACCCATGCCGAATTGCAATTGGAAAACGATGGCCAACAGTTGATTGTGTGGCCGGATACTGTGTGCCATGTCATCGATGAGAATTCGCCGATGCGTCACTTCAAATGTGCCAAGGATTTGGTTAATGCCCAATTTGAATTGTATGTCAGCATTGTGGGTGTCTCACCGGCCACAGCTCAAGTGACAGAGGCTCGAACCTCGTACATACCGCGTGAAATATTCTGGGGTCAACGTTTTGTCAACATCATCAAATACGATTCGCAAAATGAACGTTACGAAGTGGATTATAGTAATTTCAATACCACAATATCGGTGAGGTATTTTTGAATTGGAATATCGAACTGGTTTTTTAAATAATTGTATTTCATTTAAGGTCGATATGATGAATTTCCACGAAGCCATAAAGGAGCGCAAAGAAGATTGAAACTCGTTGGATGGATGGTTGGTGGGAAATCCTATCTTATGTTAATTAATTTTATATTGTTATATACGAACCTATGTTTTTTGGTTATTTACATACCTAACTCCGTAATGATTTACTAACCACAATTGCCGAATAAATCGATATCTATATCCTTTATATGTATGTTAATTAAATTGTAAAGGATGAGTGACTGATTTCCTCAGCAACAACCAGATGAATCGACTGAAATTTGCCAAGTTGGTAGTTTTGGTAGATAAGGGATAAATGTGCGGAGTTCATACTAAGAGGTCTGAAAAACATTAACAAGTTACAAAGCAGTAAGTTCGGAATACCCTCCACCATTTGGAACGTATTTGGAAATTTTCAAAAAATAAAATCCTTAAAACATTCTGTTAAAACTTTAAAAATACCGAAAATAGCCGTTATATTGGGGTCTATACGACATGGACCTACATAGGTATTGTTTGCCATTAGCCATTACCATATTAAAATTCGAAAATTGAAATAAACGGTGAATATTGTAGCTAAAATCATCAAAATATCATATATAGGGAGGTACCTTTATACCGGAGCTGTGCGAAGACCTGGCCCAGCATAGACAATTTTCTGTCACAGGTTATAGCATCCATTACTAACGTCAAATACGATATCTCAAACAATTTCGGTGGGTATTGTACCTAAACTCGTCAAAATACCGAATATAGGGAGGTACTGATACATGGGGCCTTTACGAAGACCTGGACCTGCATAGGCAAATTTCTGTCGCAGACTGTAGTTCCCATTACGAACTCTTAATACGTAAATTGAAACAATTCCGGTTAATAATGACGCTAAAATCATCAAAATACCGAATTTTGGGAGGTACCGTTATATGGGGGCTATACGAAGACGTGGACCTGCACCGACAAGTTTTTTCCTCATGCTGTAGTATTCATTACGAACTTCAAATACCAAATTTAAAACAATTCCGGTGAATAATGTCGCAAAAATCACCACAATACCGAATATTGGGAGGTACCGTTATATGAGGGCTATACGAAGACGTGGACCTGCACAGACAATTTTCTGTCATAGGGTGTAGTATCCATTTCGAACTTCAAATACCAACGTTGAAACAATTCCGGTGAATAATGTCGCTAAAATCATCAAAATACCGAATATCGGGAGGAACCATTATATGGGGGCTATATGAAAACGTGGACCTACATGGCCCATTTACGAACTTAACCTGCCTACTGAAAAAATAAATATGTGTGCAAAATTTTAGCCTTCTATCTCAATTCGTTCGAAAGATAGCGTGATTACAACAGACAGACAGACGGACATGGCTAAATCGACTTAGAATTTTACGCTGATCAAGAATATAATATATACTTTGTTGGGTCTGACATGAGTATTTCGAGGAGTTACAAACGGAATGACAAAGTTAATATACCCTCCATAGTATGGTGGAGGGTATAAAAAGTTGAAAATTCATACTATAAAGGTAAAAAGAACGATAGGGCTAGGCTTTTAACAGTTTGGACGAGAGTAACTCTGGCTGCAAAATAGTGAAATACAGGGTGAGATAAAAAAACTGCAACACAGTCAAACGCCATAATTTTTACATTTTTTTGTAAATTTTAATGAATTAAAGCAAAAAAGTAGGAACTAGCATCAAATTTTAGAAGAAGTTTAGATTTGTTCGAATTGATCAACTATGACACGAATTATGGCCTTCAAACGGCCAATTAAACCGTCACACGCTGCCCGAATGTTGCTCTGCAATATTTTGGCCCATTCCCGGCGAAGCGCTTGCTTGAGATGATCGACACTTTGGTATTTTTCAGTGCCAACCTTGCTTTCCAAAGTACTCCAGATACAATAGTCCAACGGATTTTGGTGGCCATTGTGCGCTGGAAATGAAGCAAAGAACCTCATTTTGCAACCTTTTTTGGGTGGCGCGTGCTGAGTGCGATGGTGATGAGTCCTGTTGGAATGTCCAAGGTCTGGTGCTAAAATGTTATCGAGCCCAAGGTTTTAATACACCCTCCAGAATATTTTCGGTATAATATTCGGCATTTATTCTGATGCCACGGTGGATTAATACGGGTGGAGAGCGACCATCGGCTGTTATGGCGGCCCACACCATCACCATGTCGGGCGCTTGAGTTCTGGTGGCCAACCGAAGGTGCACATTTTCAGCTGACCTCTTTGGCAAGTAAACCCGATCATTTTGTTTGTTTACAAACTGCTGGACAACGAATGTTTTCTTATCGGAGAAAACCAAATTCGGCAATTCACCACTTTCCGCCAAGCGAAGCAACTCTTTAGCTCTTTTGAGTCTATTTTCTTTCTGTTGCGGCGGTGTAAGTTCTTGCACATTTGGAATTTCAATGGCTTTACCCCGACCTCATTTTTGAATATTTGCTGAATGGAATATTGCCGTATGTTCAGCTCACGAACCATTTTTCGATCAAGTCGCTTCTTTACTTGCGAACCATTTCTGCTGATGTTGGTGTTTTCTTCCGGTCACTTCCTTGACGGGCTACGGGCTACGCTATCAGAATCACGGTAACGAGCGATGGTACGAGACACAAAAGATTTATTCACATTTAAATGCTGCAGTGCTCTAACGAAATCCTCTTGTGGTTTTCCAGCCAAATATAAAGAAATCACACTATCACGCTTGAATTTCATCACGAATAACTTTTTTTACTGGAAAATTCTTACCAGAATGCTTCTGTACGCTTGTAAAAAATATAATGAGCTCTCACTGGAATAAGTTTAACAGCTGTCGGACGAGTGGCTTAGAAATGACAGCAGTCTGAAGTTGGTTGCAGTTTTTTCGTCTCGCCCTGTATTTCATACAAAGTGAAGAAAGTATTGGTTAGTCCAAACCTGGCGTTATTTATATCATATTTATTTAGGACCAATACGAAATGGACAATATTGGCTCATAGAGAAACCGAAACCTACTCCATAGAGGGTCAACAATTGGAAAAGCCATAACTGAAATCAAAATATATTTAAACAATCGAAAATTGGCTGAGGGTATAGATGTATAACCTCATAGATCATATAGAGCTAGAGATGTATACCCTCAGCCAATGTTCGATTGTTTAAATATATTTTGACTTCAGTTATGGCTATTCGGCTAAACCGACTGATACTTTTTAACTTGTTATTTTCGATTATTTGTTTTCGTTGTTCTATTATTAACCCATATTCGCCAAGTTCATCCTTGACATGCTTCTTTTTATACCCTCCACCATAGTAGGGAGGGTATATTAAGTTTGTCATTCCGTTTGTAACACCTCGAAATATACATTTTAGACCCCACAAAGTATATATATATGTTCTTGATCAGTATAAAATTCTATGTCGATCTAGCGATGTCCGTCCGTCTGTGGAAATCACTCTAGCTTCCGAACGAAATTAAGTAGATTAATAAAATTTTACTCAAATGTATATTACGTCTGCAGGACTTTTGGTATTGCAAATGGGCCATGTAGGTCCACGTTTTGGTATAGCCCACATATAATGGTACCTCCCGATATTCGGTAATTTGATGATTTTAGCGACATTATTAATCGCAATTGTTTCAAATGTGGTATTTGAAGTTCGAAATGGATACTACTGTCTAAGACAAAAAATTGTCCGTGCAGGTCCACTCTTAGTATAGCCCCATATAACGGTACCTCCCGATATTCGGTATTTTGATAGTTTTAGCGACATTATTCGCCGGAATTGTTTCAAATTATGTATTTAGAGTTCGTAATGGGAACTACAGTCTGTGAAAAAAAAATTGTCTATGCAGGTCTAGCTTTTCGTATAGGCCCCATATATCAGTACCTCCCTATATTCGGTATTTTGAGTTTAGGTACAATACCCACAGAAATTATATAGGAAATGTTGATGATTTTAGCTGCATTATTCAACGTTTATTCCAAGTTTCGAATTTGAATATTGTATTGGCTTATGACAAACAACGCCTATGTAGGTCCATGTCGTATAGACCCCAATATAACGGCTATATTCGGTATTTTTAAAATTTTAACAGAATTTTTTAAGGATTTTATTTTTTGAAAAGTTCCAAATTCGCTCCAAATGGTGGAGGGTATTCGAAGTTCGGCCCGGCCGAAATTACTGCTTTTTAACGTGTTTGAATTCCTTTACTCCTTGTTTGTGTGACTGCTTCTAATCGAATCTGTAGATACGAATTCCAAATCATAACTAATTTTAAGAATATGGTCCAAAAATTGTATTCTTGGCGACAATCCTAACGATATGCATAGGTTTCGGGGACTTGGCTTAACTTGCTCCATGTATTCCGACATTTAACGCAGCTGGATGAAGCTTTAGAGTAGGACAGGACCTGGGCTACTTTTCCATCTACCATAGTAAACACTTATTGATAGTCAACGTCAATAGACTCTCCGTCAAGACTTCTTTCAATCGGCTACAATGATGCAATTTACGTTTTTACACCACTGGCACAGTTTGCTTTATTTAAATTCATATTTAATTGGTCTAAAGTATTTCGTTGACCTCTCCATATCTTCATATTTCCTTATTAGGCGCAAAGGTAAAAAATGGCACCGTGAACATTCATTCATTACAATTCCAATATTAACAATAATTAAAACTCATCTATTCAAATATTAAAAACTTTCAAATAAGAAGCCTTATAACTAATACAAAAAAAAATATAAAGAAAATTGAAAAATTAAAAGAAATGAAATAAATAAAATGATCATAAAATGATAACAGAGAATGGACAACAAATGTAGACTGGAATACAAGGACTACTCATTTTTATTCGACTGCTGCAAAAGCTGCAATTTTAACATCTCATTTTCTTCTTTCAGCCGTAGGAATTCATTGACAAATGGGTCCGTTTGCAAAAGCACACCCAAACAGTCACGGATTTCCTCAATCTCTTCGGAACGTTGATTCCATAAATTAAAGTTCTGTGTGAAAATTTGCCATTTATTGGTTTCATTTTGTAGCTTAATTTCGAATTCAAGTTGAGTGAAACGTTCCAGCATTTCATTGCGTAAATCGTTGACGACTTGCTGAACGCCTGTGGCATCATTGTGATTCAAAGGTGTGGTTATTTGCTTTCGATTGGCTGGCCCAACAGTTGAGGTGAGCAAAGGACGATTAGAAGCTGTTAAAATACCATCCATTGAATTGCGATTGGGGGTACTGTTAAAATTGGCAGGCAATGCCTTTAAACGTGATTGTGGCACAAACTGCATATCCGTTTGAGGATTCTCTTTATCCGATTCTCCTTCAACGGAAGATTCGTGACTTGTTTCCTGTATAACTTTTTCCTCTTCCTTGATTTGTGATAACTTGCCAGCAGCAGTAAGCGGTGATATGGGTGATTTACTTTGATCTCTTAGTGGAGCCTTGAGAAAATCTGATGTATTTACACGGGCATCAAAGGAATCACTTGGTGTAATTGATATATTAGGAGCTCCCAGACCACCACCCACCTTGCCAATCAGTGACAAACGATTTTCATCGGAAGTAGGTTTCCGCGACAAGGCTTCCCAATCGAAACTGTCGCGGCGTGGCACAAAACGTGGGGACATTTTCTCTTGGCCACGATTAGCGTGGAAATCAAGAAAATCACAAAATGAATCACGATGTGAACGTGTATTTTCACTGGCCACTCCTGGTGCAACAGATTTATTTGCAATGGCAATTCCTGAAGTTTCGCCAACACTGGAACTAGAAAAGCTTTGACCCGAATTATCACCTGGCATTGGGACAAAAGCAACTCTGGTAACTCCCACATCATGTATCTTTTTCGAGGACAAATACGCCTTTGTGTTGCGAAGATCATAGGTGGTGAGTTCACCTTTCAAATTGCCCACGCACATATAATTTCCACATTCACTTGCCGCCACCGTCGACAGCGGATGACAGTAGGCCAACTGCAAAGGTTTTACTTTGCGCCGTGTATCGAATATATTTATGACACAATCATAACCGACACTTATCAGAGTGTCGGGGCTAGCTGGAGACATACACAAATCACGACATTGGGCACCATGAGCATCGGCAGCATGAAAAACTTTACGTTTGGTGTGAACATCGTAAATTGTTACGGCACCCTTGTACGATGCAATGGATAATTGGAAGCGTTTGGTGGGATGAAAACGGGCCAATGTGGAACTGAAATGTAAAAAAAAAAAAAACAAGTTAAAAACTATTAGTCGGTGTATACCCTCATCCAATGTTCGATTATTTAAATATATTTTGACGTGTTGATGATGATTATTCAAATTGTTGTCCCATTCCTTCGGAATATTGTCGATTTGGTATCGGACCCAAATAAATATGATATAAGTATTGCGCTGTGCCCGGTTTGGCCTATATTGACTACTTCCTTCCCTCTATATGAGATAAGGGATAATGGTTAGAAAATGTTAAAATGGGAGTGAGGTACCAGATATAATCGATCGAGATACAAATACTTGTTTGGGCAAAATTCGAACAGGAAAATCGAACATTTATATCCAATTTTATGCGTAATCATGGATTCCATATTCATCTCAGGTTTCTGGTTGAGGGAAATATTTAGATATGGCAATTTATAAAGAATGGCTGACTTGTTTCGCAAGTTATGAAAGATATAAGTATTACAATAAAGAACCTTTGTGGGTTAGGTACCAAAAGGGGTTTGCAGATGTATATAATCTTCACAGAAGATCTTGTGTTAGCAAAAATGATTGTGTGTGTGAAATTTGAAGAGAGTCTGATGCTTACTTCGCTTTCTTTGAGCGTTTTGTTTTTCAAAAACTTGAACCATTTGTGGGAGAGGTACCAGAAGAAACAGTCCGCTCTCTAGCATCTTTATAACAAATCTTGTGTTGATAGAAATTTTGAGATGTACCAAGTCTGAATGGAATCGGATGTTAATTTCGTGTTTTATGAGCTTCATGGATATTCAAATTTTTGAGCCTTTGTGGAGAAGGTACCAGAAGGAGTGGCCCGGTATATACCATCTTCACAGCAATTCTTGTGTTGGCAGAAATAATGAGACGTGTGAAATATGAAGAGAACCGGATGCTTATTTCGGATTTTATGATCGTTTTGGTTATTCAAAACTTTGACCCTTTGTGGGGGAGCTACCAGAAGGAATGGTCCGATTTTTACCATCTTTATAACAAATCTTGCGTTGATAGAAATGTTGAGATGTGCCAAGTCTAAATGAAATCGGAGGTAACCTTCGCGTTTTATGATCTCCATGTATATTCAAAATATTGACGCTTTGTGGGGAAGCTACCAAAAGTAGTGGACCGATACATTCCATCTTCACAACTTGAGTTAATAAAAATATTGTAATACGTGTAATTTGAAGACAATCGGACTCTTTCATCACATTTCATAAGAGTTACAATTATTCAAAATGTCGATCCTTTGTGGGGAATGTACTTGATGCAGTTGACCGAGATTTTGGTACAAAGAGACCGTTATTTCGTCTAAGACCGTTATTTCGATGAGGCACGTTTGGCCGTATCAAATGATATATACCCTCTCTAGCCATATGGCTGAGGGTATAAAAATTGCAATTTTATTGATGTTTATCTGTCAGAAAGTCTCAGGTTTTCCGACTTTTAAATAATGAAACAAAATACGGAATACGCTTATTTTCCAATCAATTCGAACGCTAATTACCACCGATACTTACTTGTTATCAATATTAAAGGAATCTATTTTGGTTTTAGTCCTTTGGCCATATATATTAATCAATCCATTTTCAAATACCGACGCAATGTATTCATCGGAAGCATTATAGTCCATGTACAAGACGGAATTACGATTTGAATCTGCAAAAGGTAAAGGAATTACAATGAAGAAAGTTCAAAAGTAAGCAATTAAATCTTAAATATGTATCAGAAACATTGAGGCACAAAGCTAGAGGCGTAAAACGGATTTACTCTAGTTTAGTAAAAACTCTTAAATTTTTTTGAAAAATTTTCCAGTGGTAGTTATGGGGGGAAGGACCCGGGACACCAGATTTTTGTCCTGAAATACCTATCCAACAAGTGGTTATATTATTTATTATTTATAAGCAGTTCGGAAGTTATAGTCAAAAATCGAAGAGTTTTTACTAAAGTAGAGTTGTTCCAATTATTCTCATACACTTTTTTTTGGATTTTTGATCACCAAGACATTAGCTTTGAATTCTGAAGGCCAGTTATTTATTTCAAGTAGCATGTCCGCTTTTTGTATAAATGTGATGCCAAATACTTACCAGCACTAAACTTGTGCACAAACTCCGATTTGTGGTAGTTATAGAGCTTCACCTGGCCATTTGACAAACCCACAGCCATTTCTTCCATTGATTGTTTGGCACAGGCCACACAATAGACATTGTCTATGGTTAACTTGCGGACACGCTGTAAATCCGTCTCTGAAAAGTTAAGAATATAAGATAATCACAGAAATTCCATGCACTTGTTGGTTCACTTACTCTGCGCCTTCTCCTTGACCCGCATTATTTCCAAACCGGATTTTTTATTCACTTCCACAAAGATCCTCTGTTGGGCATAGAATTGAAAATCTGTATTTTCGCCATTGGAATGTTGATAGATGGATTTGGTTTCCAAGTTATTGAAATCGGTGAGGATTGTTGTTTTTGCCGTCGACACAAGGTACATGTTCGCTGCCATGATATTTATCTATTGTAAATGTGGGATTATAAATAAACGAAAAGCTGGTAAATGCTTTGTATAGTTATTTCTCTCCACAACAAATACCGAAAGTTATTTCAAATTTTTCTAATTGGACGCCAAATTGTTTAGGGCTCTAGAAGTCGTTTATGTTTTATGGAAGCTTAATCGATTTTATTCTGTTATCGTTTTGTAAGCTATGCCAATTGGCGAGACATACGACTAAAATAATACCAAAATAATAAAATAAATGGAGGGTACATATTTTTGCTATAATATTTGATCCATTCCAAGACCTGCATTAGTGCAAAAGTGTGACTACAATAATCGATTTTTCTTTTATAATCGGTCTGTTCCAGAAATGCAAGAATCTAATGTGGCGTTTCCACTGCACTTGATTCGCTCTCTATTCGTTGTTTGACCCTTAACTATGAAAAAAACTACCTAATTCTTCACACAAAATTTCCTGAGCGAACACTTATATTTGTACGTTGTTCAAATCAAATCATTCTCAGAACAACGAAAAAATATGTCCCATCCCTAAAAAATGAGAGTATTTATCGGAAAAATAAATTATGACATTTAAAATAGAAAAATTGAATGAAATTTTAAAAATTTTTGGGAAGACTGAAAATTATGAATGAAAACTACAATGTTGAATGGCGTATGTACATTCAAACGAAAGTAAATTTTGTTTTCTCTCTCATTCGAGGTGCGCATTTTGTCCACGAGTTTAAATTTCCACAGAAAACTGCAAACAAAAGAGGCAATATTTTCAAAATGTTTCTATCGGCAGAAAAAATGTTTGACAAGTGTCTCTCCAGCAGAATTTAAAAATGGAAAAACACAAAAATGTGTTCAAAATGTCAACATTTACACAAAAAGTTGAAAACATGAATGAAAATTATAAAATTAATGATATAAAAAATCTTTGGGAGGAAAACAATAATTTCTTTTATTCATATAAGTGAGAATTTCATGTATTTTCGTATAAATTCCCATTAAAATCAACATACAAAAATTTTTGGAAAAAGGATTATTTTACTATGAATTACGAATCGTGCCGTATGAACGGGTTAATTCGTGTACCTAATTCTGAGAGCGAACAACGTTGTTAGGTTTCCAATGGAAACATGCTATAATAATCTGGCAACGCCATGACTGAATAGAAGTGAGAAATTGTGCAGCTGATCATATTTCGTGTTTGTCTTGCTAAAGCGTATATACATCTCTAAATTTGTGTTTGCTTTTATGAATTTTGTAAGAGCATTGTGGAGAAATTGAAATTTAAAAGATAAACTTTGGATTTTTGTGGAAAAGTATACAAGCTTTATCTGGAGTTTGGCGTGTTGCTGTGAAGATTATAATACATTGCTGAATTGGATTCTAACTGTAGTTGCTTTGCTTTTTACGCTACTTGTTGCTGTTGTTGTATGCTGTTTGTTCTTGTTCAATATGCCGGGTGCCGCTAAAATTGTATGTGGTGTGTGCTCTGAAAATGTTGGGAAGAGTGGTAGCATCAAATGCATAATTTGCTCACACTGGGTGCATGCATCATGTGCCCAGCTATCTGATAAGGAATTGTTGGCTATGAAGGCGATCAAAGTAGCAGCATTTGTTTGTAGTTCTTGTGGAGACAAACTTGCCAATCCAGGAAGTGTTGCTGATGATATCCGCCAGCTCAATAAGAAATTCGACAATTTTATTACTACAAATCAAGCTGAGCAGAATGCTATTAAAAGTGCACTTGATAACATAAAAGCCGAGATGGTTTCATGTTTGAATGGCATGAAAGAAGATATTGTAAGTTGTAACAACCGCATTGATGATGTTGATTCTCGCACTTCATTAAAAATGAAATCTTTGGAAGCGGAAAATAATATACTTCATCGGAGGCTTAACCGGGCAGATTTTATTATTGGGGGTTTGCCTGAACATTTAAATGATTTGATTGCTGTTGTTGTTGCTTTGGGTGAATTCTTCAAAATACCCATTACGGCAAACGATATCCATCATGTGTGCTATATGCATAATCGCAAGGCGGTCTTGGTAAAATTCAATTGTGTACTGATTCGTGATAAAGTTATGAAGGAGTACTTCCGGACTCGCTCCCTAAAGGTCTCGGACATCCTGAAAGGTGATGGAGGAGATATTAATGCAAGGATCTACCTGAATGACCACTATTCTCCAGCTGCTGCAAAACTTTATACAATATGCAAGAGTATGGTTCGCAAGCAAATTGTAACAAAATTCAAAATTTTAAATGCTGATAAGCTTAGAGCCAAATTGCTGCTGTCCGATGGTAAGGAGGTGATTTATGATACTGAGCGATGTATTTTGCTCCTACATGATGCTGCTTCACTAAACTAAGTTTTTCTTTTCTACATATTTAACCTAGTTTTGATGATACAATGGCATAATATAATATCAGTCCTTATAAGAAGTTCAACTTTTGTTAAATCTAGGTTATAATTTTTGTTGTCACTATAACTATAGCTTTTGAATTTTTTCTTTTTCTCATAATATGAGTTTACAATTATATTGATCTCGTAAGATTTATGATTAGCTGTGTCTTTCGCATTTTAATGAAATTTCTGGAATTTTTTAATAATACTCTGAATTTGTATAATTATTTTTGTTGGTTCCCCATCTTACGTGCCTTGTATAATTTTGATGTCTTTTAACATGAATATGGGTGAGGCGATTAGTGGAAACACGTATTTTAGATCTATTTTTAATTCAAGCGAAGGAAGATTTATTGTGGCTCATTTAAATTGCCAAAGCATAAGGCCTTCTAGTAATTCAGTTAAATTTGATGAACTTAGTGCAATGTTGGCTGGATCCAAAATTGATGCTTTTGGTATCTCGGAAACGTGGTTGAAGCCTTTTGTCTCCAGGAAAGCGATTAGTATTCCAGGATATAACTGTTATAGGAATGATCGTGAGCAGTCAAGAGGTGGAGGTGTGTGCATTTTTGTATCTAAATCCCTCAAACACAAACTGGTTTTTAAGTCCTCAGTGTTGGGAAAGTGTGAATCGCTCTTTTTAGAACTATATTCTGGCAACACAAAGTGCGTTTTTGGGGTTGTTTATTTACCACCTGTAGGGGATCTGGTGGCTTTCGAAGAAATTCACTATGATGTGTTAATGAGTTTTTCAAATGTGATTGTTGTTGGTGATTTTAATTGTGATATGTTCAAAGTTGCGAGAAGTAGTTTAATGCGTGCTATGTGCTCTAGGTTGAACTTATCCGTTTTACATAACTCTATACCGACGCACTTTGATGTGGCTCATGCTTCCTTTTCTTTGATTGATTTTATGCTAATAAGTGACAGCTTAAAGCCCCATTATTCTAATCAAGTCCAATGTCCCTCATTATCACACCATGCTTTAATTTTTTCCTCTTTTGATATCAATATGAAAACCTTGGATGAAATTATAGAGTACAAGGATTACAATAATATAAACTGGGATGGATTGCAACAAACCTTGAGTAATTTTGACACACCTTTATTCTTCTCAACTAGTGACGTCAATGCTAAATGTTTGCTACTTGATTTGCTTATAAAAGAGCTATTTCTTTTTGTACCTACAGTTAGAAGAAAAATTCATTCGTTTGATCATAAGTGGATGAGTAGAAGGGAAATTGTATTTGCTCAGTCTTTAAGAGATGCGTCATATAAAGCATTCCAAGAGAATAGCACTAATGAGAATTGGAGTATTTTCAAAAGATATCGTAACCGGGCTAAATCATTGATTAGAAAGGTGCGACGTCAGTTCTATTCTAGACATTTTAATGGAATGAATTGTAAAGAATTATGGCGGGCTTTAAAAAGGTATGGTTGTTCAGGTGCTGAGGGTGCAGATTACGATGATGATGTTAATGCGCTGAATAACTTTTTCGCATCAGGTGCTGGTCCTGATGTAGTTGGATTGTTTGATGTTGATCACTTTGAAGATGTTAGTAATTCGTACTCATTTGAGTGTGTAGGTAGAGAGGATGTTGCAATTGCTTTAGGTAAAATTGAGTCTAAGTCTGTTGGCGTGGATGAAATACCACTTGAGTTTTTAAAGATTTTGTTTCCTCATATTTCTTACTTGATCTTGGACTTGTTTAACTCGATTATAACTACATCAGTTTTTCCTATAGCATGGAAGACAGCGCGTGTTGTTCCTATCCCGAAAACTTCTGCTATACGTTCCTTTGATGATATGCGGCCCATATCAATTTTACCTGTCTTATCCAAGGTATTTGAACATATATTAAAGAATCAAATTCTGTCTTTTACCAGGAATAAAATCTTTGAATCACAATATGCTTTCCGTGCTGGTCATAGTAGCACATCTTTGCTGTTGCATCTCACCGAGTCTATCAGAGGCAACATGAATAAAAATTATGAGAGCATCTTGATTTCCTTGGATCTGTCTAAAGCGTTTAATTCTATATGTTATGCTACTATGATACGTAAACTCAGGAATGGCTTTAATTTTTCCTATACAGCGTGTAAACTGATTATGGATTATATGAATCATAGGTTTCAATTCGTTGAATTGAATGGTATAAGATCTAGGGTTGCACGTCTGACTTCTGGTGTACCACAGGGCTCTGTTTTAGGACCACTTTTATTTATACTTTATATTAATGATTTCTCTGCGTGTTTGAATACAAACTCCTGTGATGCATTTGTATTTGCTGATGATATTTTCTTATTGTTTAGTGCTGATAAGGGATGTGAGACTATTTTAGAAAATAATATAAATGTGTGTCTTAATTCAATACTCCAATGGACAAGCTGCAATTCTTTGACGATAAATCCTTTAAAAACAAAAGCAATTCGATTTACTTCTAATGAGATGGTAATAAATATTTTTATTGGACAAACTATGGTACAATTTTTAGATCAGCATAAGTGCTTGGGAGTCATTATTGATAGAAGGCTTAATTTTGGACCTCATATTGACTCTGTTCATGCTAGAGTTTATGGAATTTTGCGTAGACTTTACTCAACTTGTTTCTATTTTCCAAAATGGATTAAGTTCAGAATTGCTTATGCGCTATTAATGCCGTTGGTTTCATACGCCTTAGAAGTCATATCTGGAACTGTCTATTACAATGTTCTTAAATTGAAATGCATTGTTAACTCTATTATCCGATATGTC